AGTGTAGACTTTATAGCCTCATTTTATACCCTCTCCTTCAAATCAGTGTATTTCTTGCAGGAAGAGAAGAGGTACCGAGCAGCGTATTTAAATGCAGAAGAATCTGAGAGAGAAAAATTCTCTCTCTTCTCTGCAGCTGTAAGGGAAAGCCATGAGAAAGAGCGAACAAGAGCTGAAAAAACAAAGAACTGGTCTATTATTGGTTCTGTACTGGGAGCCATTATAGGTGTTCTTGGTTCCACCTATGTTAATCGAGTAAGGCTGCAAGAATTGAAAGTCTTGGTGCTTGAAGCACAGAAGGGCCCCATAAATTTGCAAGAAGCCATCAAAGAACAGGCCTCCAGCCATTATTTACAGCAGAAGGATCTCAGCGACGTCATAGCAGACCTGAAAAATGTGCTGCAAACAAGGACATCACAGGAAATAAAAGAAGGCGCTTTGTTAACTAGAGAAGACAGGAATGACTCCATAAAAATAGATTCTCTTCTAATTCCTTTAAACGAACAGCTAAACTACATTAAACAAGTCAGTTCATGTCTAGGGAATTTACAACAGCAGTTTAACCGCTTGCAGGAAAGTATAGCACAAATGATTTCTGAGATGCAGAGTGTTAAACTTGCAGTCCATTCTAGACCTACAGAAAGAGTGATGCCACGGTCTTCAGTGGAGGGTAAGGGCCAGGCTTCTGCCGTGAGAGATGTGATTTTAGAATTGTGTGATACCGAGAGGAGACTGGAAACACAAATCAAGAGAAATTCTATTTACAGCACTGCGGTGACATGCGCTATGTTTGCTATTACTCTGCCAGTACTCTATATTATACTTAAAGGGAACTGATCTCTAATTAATTGCCACAATTTACTTGATTAATAAAAGTTATCTTGCACTCTAAATACTTAGAGTACAGGTCCAAATAAAGTTGCATTAGTGTTTCTCGTTATGCTTTCTCCTGTATGTTTGGAAAACTTGTAAAGACTTAGTCCATGTACTGCTGCAGGCTCCATGTTAACAGTCTTTGTCATGCATTGTGGTTTTTAACTCCTCAAGTAAAGGAAATTCCATAGTTTCATCTGTTGATTTCATTCACTGGTTCACTCTTTTACTGTCTAGTCTTCTATATCATGCCAGTCAGTGACTTTCACTCTGGAACTGTATTTGTGATTTTCTGTTCAAATGATTCTTTTAATCTATCATTGATCTAAATGCTGCATGTGTAATCCTTTATACTTTTTCTCCCAATTTCTTGACAGTTTTGCAATTTGTCCATACACAAAACATTAGGAGTTATTTTACCAAACAGGTAGAAATATTTGCCCTGAAATTTTGGGTTTTTTTTTTTCTTTTTTTTTTTTTTTTAGATTCTAGATGCAGTGACTTGCAGTATGACAAACAGCAGGGCCATGTAAATAAGGAGGATTGAAGTTACCATGATACAATGTGGCTGTACAGCCTGATGATGCATTTAAAATACATTTAAGTTACATGTGGTAACTTTTTCCTAGGACGGTTTATCATGAAGTATCCAAAAGCATTTCTGGAGCTTTAGCTATTTGTTACTGATAGCTCCATGTCCTTAAAGGCTTACAGGCAGGGAAAAAGGGTTCAGATACAGAGATGTATTAAGTACGATGATGTTTCTTCTGCAGATGCAAGCCAATTATCCTTTCTCTACAGACTCCTTAACCCATCATTCCCTAGGTATTTTGTGATTTTTACTAATCATCTATGGAGCAATCACTTTCTTATCCTTACTAGTATCTCATTGGCACTTTCTCCTTTTTTTTTTTTTTTCCAATTTTGTTGTGTCTGGAAATTGAAATGCTACTCTACAGCAGGTGCTTTTAAGCTGGTACATTAATGGTAACAGTGTTACGCAAACTACTCCAAAATAATATTTGGAAAAAAGTGAAAGGTCCAGCTGCCTGTTTTTCCTGGAAGGATGAAGAATGACTGATTGAGGAAAAATGCTTGTCTAAACAGCTAAACATCAGTATCTGTGTGTGGCCTAACACAGAGTTGTTGGTATCGCTGTGATAAGAAATAGTTTTCTCCCTGTGATGGTAGCAGATAAGCAAATCAGATGCAGAACTCCTGCTCTGTGAGCTCTTCCATGAAACCTTTGCAGACAAAGGAGTGACAAGCTCATGCTTACACACGTGCCTTTGTGTAAGCATTTAAGAATGACTAAGTTCTGTTTAGTATACACTCTGCTATGTTGGGTTTTTTTCTATCAGCTCTTTCTAGTTTCTTCTGCCCAGTAATTCTATTAAGAGAGTCTGAGGTTTTGATTATAAGCTCCTAAGACTTTAAGATCTTTGGGACAGGGTCATTTGCTCTATGAAGCACCAACTTCATTTGGTATCATTAGGTGCTATTGTAACATGACTGAATAAATAAACAATATTAGGAAAGATCTGTGATGATTCACTACTTTTAAGGGAGATGAAGTGTGCAAGAAGGTGGTTTTGGGAAAGACCACTGCTGATTTATATATTGTTTAGAGTGTAAAGTGAATAACAAGCATTTGTCAGGGAAGCTGTTTGATCTGATGGCTTGAGGACTGGGATAAAAATTCCCATACACTTAGCTGTGTCAAGAAGTATACATACAGATCAATACAATTTTTCAAATCTGTAATATTTCATTTTCTCATTTCATAAATATTTTTACAGGTTATACTTCTTGCAGGAGCTTGATGAAGATTAAAGACAAGTGTGTAATTAAAGGGGAAGGGGTAGTACAATGGTTCTATTTATAATTTGCCGGCACTAGTCACTGAGAATTTTGTTCTGGTTTGTTTTTTTTTTTTTTTCCTTCAGTTTAACTACATAGAGTTAGGCCCCCTTATTATTTAAGTGGCTGAATTTTAGATACTCGGCATCACTGAAAAGCATGGATTATATATACATGAGCATGGTTTTAAAATGGTGCATGTTAGGCAGCTAAACTTGAAAGTTGAGGCAACACTCACTGAATTGTACTTGGTGGTGTCAAAAATTAGCAGAGGTCCAGGCTAAACTTGTATACAATAAATAACAGAATAAAAAAACAAGGGTTGTTTATTTTTCTAAAGAGATCTGCTTTCTACCCATTTAAAAAAGGTATGATAGTAGGTAGCTTTAACATTACCTAGAGTTACGGGAAGAAAAACTCAGTCAATGAGAACAGTAGCAAATAAATCTGTGATAAACGAGAGTTTGAAACACACAGCCTGAAACTTGAGAAGAGCTGGATGGTGTGATACGTATCAAGATGAGAATAGCTGGATCTTATCCTTTGTAGGGAGTTTTGAAGATTCAGGAACAGATTCTGTGTGCAGCATTGTACAGCTGGCAGAACTCGCAAGTGATTACTGTGGTTCTCTCATTTCTGCTCTTCCTTGCTAAATCCTTGTATCTGAAGTGACAGCAGAATAATTTCAGTTAGACACAGTTAATTACATGTTTTTTTCCCTATATAATAATTAGGAGGGCAGCTTTGTCTATTCCCTCAATCCTGGATTAATCATCACTCCATTGTGGCAATGATCTAAACGTGTAGTTTGGTGCTGTGCCGTATGTGTATCCCAAAGCCAGAAGATGTGGCTGCAAGAGTAACAGTTGTACCTTCAGCTAGCTGAAGGCAATATCCAGGAAGATGTTTAACATAGACTATACGTGTAATCTGTTCAGTGCTTTACGCTAAGTCTTTGTCATGGTAACGCAGGCAGCAAATACACAAGTTTGAACAAAACCTGCACAGCTGTACAGAGGTGTTTATTTTAGAGCTCACATTAGTTCAGGTATATCTGAGGTACCGACACTGATTTACACAATGCATATTGACATCTCGGTGCACATTTCCTGATGATTCAGCCATGGCTAAAAGAATAGTTTGTCGCCTGTGCTCCTCTGGGCTATTTTAGGGTTTTTTTGGGGTTTGGGTTTTTTTGGGGGTTTTTTGGGTTTTTTTTTTGTTTTTTTTAAGTGTTCTGTTGCATACCTATGGATTATTAACAATGTTTATAATAGATAGCTGAGTTTCACTTTTGGAATGATGTCTCTCAGCTGAAGCTTTCCTCAAGGAGAAAATTCTGCTTGCTAAGGCCTTTTGATACCTAAATCCTTGCTCTTTCTGTGAGCAGAGTCCTCTCTGGGCAGGATGGCTCAGCCAGCCCTGTCCCCCAAACGCTCATCAGCCAGGAGGGATGGTGGTTGCAATAGTTTGTACAGGTCTAGTGAGGCCAGGGACTGACCTAGGCATCGTGTATAGGTCAGAGAAAGCCAGAGCTGATTCAAGTTAATTCCACTGTCAGTCAAGACACAGAAGGTAAGTTAAAGTGGGAACCTAGTAAGAGCAACAGGAAGCCCTTTGACAGACGTTAACTATAGAAAAATGGGTGGCAGTGGCCTGAGCTTGGCCCATGCTAAGCTATTTTGAGTTCTTACTGCTCCGTGAGAAACCACTAGTAACTCAAAAGCAAACAGCCTCGTGGCTATGGAAATAACTTTTCATGAGGTCACTGCAGACTTCTAACAGTAGGAGCATTCTGAAGAGAAAAGTTGCTATTCCTTCCATTCATGAAGGGAATAGCAAATGTTGCTTATGAATACAGGACAAAAGCAATTGTATGTGGTGTCACAATCAGGATATATGTATGTATTTATTAACACTTGAGTTTTGAGTGTTCCAACATTCTAAGAACCTGGTTGGAAGTTTCAGGTGCCCCTGTTGATTTCATTGTAACTGTCTGTTTGGAAAAGACAGTTTCTTTCACAGAAAACCTTCTAAAACCAAACACTTCCCTGTTCATGGAGCTGAGGAGTGGCAGAGATGTCCTATTTACTTCAGAAACAGGATTGAGATTTGCAGTAGGAGTGAGGTTCGTGAGCTAGGGAAAGGGAGACAATGCTGGGTTTGTCTATAATATATTTAGAACTGTCTTTTATTGCCAGATTTTTGTTAGCAAGTTATATTGCTGACCTTCCTCATAAAACACAGAGAAGTGTGATTTCTGGTGTTTGGCAATGGTGGATAATCTAAGAAGGTGTGGGTTAAATACAGCAAAAAAACAGCTGGGTGACAGTTTTTATTTTTAAGGAGAATTAAGCCTTCAGGTAATTATGGTTGCGGCAAGGTTTTGGAGTTTCCATCATGGGAAGTTTTTAAGAACAGTTTAGATAAATATCACTAGGTTTGATACAGATATAGACAGATCCTGTCCTGGGACAGGATGGATTTAGTCAAGATCTTTCAAACATTTCTGTTCTAAGAACTGCCTTTTTTTTTTTTTTTTAAATTAAAGTGGGAGAGTCGATGGGCAATTTGATGTCCTAGTCATCCTAGTGCAGGTTGTCCTATACTGCAAGTTGTAGCAGAATGAGAAAGTGGTGTGCTGAGAAAATAATAGCTCATTAAAAAATTAAAAAATAGTTTACTATGGGCCACATGGTGTTAAGTACCAGCAGAGAGGGAGAGTGCATGTATGCACAGCTGCAATAAAGTATGCCCTAAGAGTATCACCCTAGTAATTATTTTTCAGAATCAAATTTATGAGGTGACTTCTCAACCAATTTTGAAATACTATGCAAGGAGGTTTTTTAAAGGCTGTTTTTAATAGAATTTTGCACACTTCTGTTGTAAGCCTTTAAATGGCTGCAGCCTACACTGGCCTTTCTGGGAGTTTGCCTGAAGCAAGCTGGCCATTAAAGATTGTTGTAGTTAAGTACTGGCATATCATATGCTCTCAGGAACTTCCCTGTGCTTCAGAACTTGTTTTTTAAAAACCCCAACACATCATCTATGTTGATTCAATAAGCTGATCACCCAACCCTCTGTATTAGTTTGGTGCATGTAAT